GGCAGTCATCAGGGTGTGGCTGTGCTAGGGATTGCTTTAGTAGCCATGGGTGAGGAGATTGGTGCTCAGATGGCGCTCAGAACATGCAATCATCTGGTATGTAAATATACCCAAAATTTCAAAATGGTACTAAAACACTACCCAGGTTAAAGAGTAATATGATGAGTCCCAAGGCTGTAAGTGATCCCTTGGAGTGTGACCATTCAAATGGGAGCTATTGAGGTCAAAATGCCTTGAAATGGGGTTCAAGAAAGTTTGCTAAAATTAATGTGTTTTGTGGTATCTCAGACTGTAAAAGTTTTGTTTGCAACTCAAGATTTATTTGATGGTTGATCTGTTTGTTGTATTTTAGCTGCAGTATGGTGAACCTGTGATACGTCGAGCAGTCCCCTTAGCTCTTGCTATCTTATCAGCCTCAAATCCTCAACTGAGTATAATCGACACTCTCAGTAAGCTGTCTCATGACAATGATGCAGAAGTGTCNTTGATTTCTAATTCTCTGTGTAATATTTCACAGTTTTTAAAATGTAACATACTTTCAATCTATTTGTTTTTGTATAAGGTCTTAAACTACGCTGAGAATTGAAAAGATGCATTGAGTTTCGGGTCCTTTGTTCCAATGCACTAAGTTTTAAGTCCAGTTCGTTGGCAAATTCAACTGCAAGCCTTCTCCAACAATAATGTCATTTACTTGAAAACTTTGCGACAACCCTATTTCTGACCCTCTTTTTCTTGAAAATTAATCATAATTGATCAGAAGTGAGAAATATTTGAGAGAGCTGTTTTCTTTGCTTTTACACGTACCTTAAGTTTCAAAAGGTAAAAGAGTAAACATTCCCTTCTGCTAGGTTTGCAAGAAACTTATTCTCTTGCAAAAAAATTTAAATGCCCAGGCATTATTAATGGTGTTATTTTTATCTGGTACAGGAACCAACAATGCCAGACTTGGAGGAATGCTTCGGCAACTGGCCATGTACTACCACAAAGATGCAAACAACCTGTTTATGGTGCGACTTGCACAGGTGAGGTTTGGTGGAAGAAAAAGAATGTACACTCTGAAAGTTGGCATATCCACATTGCACTGAGAGATTTTAAACAAGACTTGCTGATTAGCAATGTCTGACAGTAACTGCCAACTCCATTGCAGCCAGTAAAGAGAAAATAAATGTGATTTTGCCTGCACATTGACCAAAATGTTTTTCAAAATTCACTGTGAAA